CATCTCCATCAGAGTCTGATGATGTGTCGGAGCTTGCTGCCGATGGCGCTTGTGGAGATGACGAGTATAACCCTCCCAACATTGTGATTGGTACTGGCGGAACATGAGTGCCGTTGCCAGCTTTTGGCGGAGGCGGCGCCCCTGCAAGGGGCATGGGAGGCGCTGGAGGTGGTGCGGCCGGAGGCGGAGGTGGCGGAGCCACTTGATTAGCAACCAATTGGGAAAGCTGCTGAACCATTTCCGCTAAAGCCGTCACTTGCACTCTCACATCGGCTTGATCCCTTGTACCGTCTCTACCCAGCCCGCTAGTCCTTGACGCGCCGGGGGCTGCGTCTCCAACGGAGGGCGCTGCTCCTAGCACTGCCGAATGACCTGCGAGATGTTGACTTGTTGCACCCCCACCAGGGTCCCTTGAATCAGCTGGGGCATCGTGACCAAGTCCTGAACTTTGAACAGGACCACACGGAGGGTCGGGGATAGTACTTGTAAAAGCATTCCCTTGCGACGATGCGGCAACACCGGAGGCATCTTGTGAATCTGAAACCTGAGGTGCTCCAACCGGCTGATGGGTTCCTGGGGGAACTGTGCCCTGACTTGAGGCTTTAGCCGCGCTTGATTCCGTAGCTGTTTCGGCTATTGATGCGGCTTTTGGCGGGGACTCTTGAATCGGAACAGGGGTCGCACGAGCTTGTTGGGTGAGGTGTGCAACAACACGTTCAAGATCACCAAGTCGTTGATGCATCACAGAATTTTCCTGGGACAATCCACGAATGGTATGCTCTTGACTGGCAATGGTTTGCTCTCTTTGCAAGATTGCCTGTTGAGCCTCTTGAACAATGCGTTGAACCTCTTGCTGAGCGTCCTGTTGAGTGGCATTAACAACCTGTCGTGCGTTCTCGACATGGCCAATGGCTTCCTGTCGTGTCTGCTCGATTAGTTGCCTAGCCTGAGCCTCACTTTGTTGTGCTGTTTGTACAGCCTGCTGTGCTTGCGAAGCTAGCTGAGCGGCCTGAACCCTAACGTCTGATACTTCTCTTACAGCCCTTTCCCTGATCCATCCGGCCTCTTGTCTCGCCTGGTCGGCGGCCTGCTGTTGGTGCAAGGCGTGATTGGCTGCCTGAGCAGCGAGGTCGGATGCTCGATGAGCTTGCTGCACCGCAGCTCCAGCTATAAATGCCGCAGCGGGTACGTTAGTCATCGGGTCAGGTAATTGCGATCCCTGTGAAGGAAACTGAATGGCTGGGGAAGCTTCGGATGATGTAGGTTCTGACACGATCGGACCACTCGGGGGTGATGATGGTCGTGTTTGGGCTGCTCGTTGAGGTGTGGATGTGCGAACTGTGGACATAACTGCAGGAACCATGGCTAGGTCAGGGTCATCCGGTTCAGAATCCCTATTTGGGGTTGACCTTGAACGGGGTTCTGATGGCGGTGATAAGCCCGTTGAAGCCATGACACAGCAATGCAATTTTGCACTCACACGAAGCTAGCTCCACGCGCTTTGAGCAGCGTGTCAAAAGGTGCTACGAGGAGATATCCCTGGATTGGCAGCTGGTGCGAAACGCTCAAGTGAGCCACTCAAGAAAATACGCCCTGCTGCTTTGCACCTGATGAATTCTGTATTTGTAATTGTACTTGTAGATTGATTGATCCGCACTGCCGTACCCGAATGCACTCTGAGTCCGAATAGGAGATCTTGCTCGCGGCGGGGATTTCCTCGGAATATCTGCTTTCGCCGGTGCCGAAGAAGCTGCACGGGGAAGTTCCTTGGGCAATGGAGGCTTGCTGCCAAAAATGACCTTTGGCGCGGCCTTTGGTGGCGGCGGTTGAATTGCTCCAATCCTCCGGCTATGCAAAGCAATAGGCTCAGTGTGAGTCGGTGCCTCGTATACGCGCCGAGGCACGTAAGCCGCCCTGCCCGTTCTGATGGATTCCGCGTCCTGCGGAGGTTCCTCTTCCGAGCTGTAGGCGTCGAGGCGGTAGTGCTCCTCCGGCGCTGGGCGTCGATCAGGAGATCGTGATCGCGGATGATCTTCTTGGGGGATCTCTCCACGTCTCGTCCGCGAGCGAGTACGGGCCAGCCTGACGGAGTTGTCCGGATGTCCGTTGTGCTCGGCGTTGAGATGTCGCCTCACGTGGCTGTGAAGCCTCCCGAACAAGTACCCAAGTGCCGTGCTCGTCAAATCGTGTCACAGGGTATATGCTGTTCTGTGGAGCCAATACAATGGGCCGTGTGGCAAGGGAAGTCCTGGATGGCCTGCCCTCCCGCGCAAGCGCGGGTTCAACACTGTGTGCCCGTTGTTCCACAGGGGTAGCAGCAGTTGGCCCTCGTCTCGGAGGTGACGGAGACCTCGACCTTCGGGGCGATGGGGACCTCGATCTTTGTGTTGACCGTTCCCTGCTGCTCTCCCGCCGCGTTTCCGCAGCTTTAGCGTACACCCCGCGAAGTGTTGACTTGGCGGCTTGTCTTTCCTCTGCAGATGGCCGGATGCGAGGCAAAGGAGTGCGTGAATCTTGTAGCCAGGATGAAGCTGAAGGAGGCGTCGGAGGGCGTAGCCAGTCCGCTGCACTGCTCGTTGCTTCCGCCGCGCCTGAGGCTGCGGCTCTATCCTGAGATTGCACACCTTGCGGCAAGACCACACCTGCGGTTTCAACCGATGCGAGACGCTGCTGATATGCGTTGTCCGCGGCCTGGATCACTTCGAAGGCCTCTTGGTCAAAATCCCACAGGTGCCAACTATCCAATGACTCACGCCAGGAAAAGAGCGCCTCGACCTGTTGCTTCGAGGCGTCCGCAAACCTGATCCACCGGAATCGTCTGTTCTGCCGCTTGTACTCGTCGACGACGATCTGTTGCAGAGTGTTGTACAAACGGGCACGCGGCCCTTTCCCACCGCGTGTGCCGCGGTGAGGGCCGACTTCCATGTGCGACCAACAGGTCGCAGTCACGGAAGGGTTTGTTTACCCGAAAAGCGCTACGGCTGATAACCACTCAAAGGAGAGGGAAACACAGTTTTGTCAACAACGGGGAAACCCGGGACCTTAAAAGGAACGAACCCCTCCGTGACTGCGACCTCTCCCTTAACCTTGTGGGAAGCGCGAGCAACGCGCTCTTTTCAGCACTTGAGCCAAAGCAGTGATTGGGTCATGCTCAGGCATTGACTTGAATGTACAACATGCAACTGACTACATGAGAACCTACCTCATGTACCTCTGGGCCATAAATGTCATCGTGATAATTGACTTGATATTGTGGGTTAGTCTTCAAATATGGGAACTTCAAAATGGGAGGTTGTTCATCAAAACAAACCGAAGAAGGGTACCCTGCAAAAAGACCACCCACAGGAATATCCTAACATGGCAAGTAAACAAATCACACTCCGTCTTAGGTTGCAAAACCCACCACTCAAAAAACAAATAGTGTTTGCCATGTGGCTGTGCCTGTTAAACCAACCAGAAGGGGGGCACACCTCCACCCCCAGGCGGGGAACCCCTTTGCTTGGCCCGACCCCCTGCCTCGGCCAGGAAGTCGAAGTCCACGGCAAACCTCGGTGCGAAGTATCCGAGTGCCATTGGGTTGTCTCTAATGGATCCACAGCATGCGGATTTTCTATTTTACCCAATCCAGCGGGTTTTGATCCCTCACCCTCCCAAATCAATCATAGAGTTTCTGTGTCGGGGTCCCTGAAGAGCCTTGTCCTCGAGCCTCTGGTGTGACTAGAATTGCCGATCCTCCCAGTCTACTTGATTCGGGGGATGGTCACAGGCCCTGAGGGATCTTAGGCTGCAATTGTATATAAGGATTTCTAGTAAGGACAACATCACCTGTACAACCAGCACAACAAAGGAAAATTGCAGCCCTGCGGCACAAGGATAGGATTCGATTTTCAGCAACCTGGTTGAAAGCTACATGAAAGGTTCAGAAAGCCTGCTTTGAGAGGGATATCTAATATCTGCAATCAGCACCAGCTCCACAAGCACATTGTATATGTGATGTCCTCATTTGCAAAGATGCCGTGAGGCCGGCAAAGGCACAAGCAATACACTGGACTCCATCCTTCTTACTGTAGGAGCCCTGTCTGGGAAACTCGCTATGATTCTAAAACTGGAAAGAAGGAATCCCCAAGGAAATGTCAGTAAATATGTGTGAGCTCGTTTTGCCCTCTGATCGGTAAACAAGCTCGTTCTAGCCTGCGCAAATAGTTTCCCTCCGTTGCTTTGCACAAAGCGGTCCCAATACCAACTGTCCACCCTTGCGGTTGGTAATTATTCTGAGGGTCAGTTCATTTTCCAGGGAAGGAGGCCCTCTGTAGAAACCAACGGCACTGTGGAGTTGATTGCACCTTGTTTGTTAGACCACCGCCCCAAAAGACGCAGTCACCGGCCTGGTGACGCAGTCAGAATTCCAGAAGGCCCTGCGCAAGGCTGATACTGCTACTTCTCGTTTCAGAGCGGTCAGAAAGACAAAAATAAACAACATCCATCCGCATTTGATTTGCCAAGGGGAAAGTATGATAGAGATTCTGGGCTATTTAGCTTGTACTTAGCACTCACCCATGTGAATTCCTCAAATAATATTGTCCAATGTACGATTCCAGTCTCACCCCCGTGATTGTGAAGGCTGAATATGCACTCTTATGTTTAGGTCTGTAATGCGACATCCTCAAAAAGACCCTCTAAATTCTGGTCAAACACCAACAAACATGAGTCAAAATGCAATCACTTCAAGGGACCCAAATGAAGCTGTAATCCAAGGCGTTCGGCAAAGCATGTGATGCAAACCGCTCATTCTGTGAAACTGTCTTGGGATACAGTTGTCCTGCAAACCAAGATGCTAGGACCTTGCCTTGCTGATTCAAATGATGGGAAAGCTACTGTTCTTAGGACACAAGGGAGCCCATGGGGTTCTGATATTCGCCTGGATCATTCCCCTGGACCGGCATCACTCCGGACGGAGAACTTGAGCTGACCCTCGCCTGTCTCAAGGCATTTCGTCCGCCTCACTTCAGCTGAAGAACATCGATGGGCAGCCACCCACCCTTCGCAGGTGCAGATCCCTTGTGCCAAGCATAAACGTAGTCGCATTGGTATACATTCACGTCTTCACACGGTGAAACTGAATCCAAATGTACATGTAAGACAAAGCCTTTCGCCACGGCCTCCATGTAGCCGCCTTCCGGCTCTGATCGCCCGCTGTATGGGGACACCATGACCGCCTCGCCAACACCAGTCCCCCGCCACCGCTCGTCTGCCGCGTCCTTAGTGCGGTGATCTAACAAAGCTGTGGAGTTCTCAGCCTCCACTCCCGGATCAGGATCGTAGGTGGTAGTCTCGACTTCAGCGCAGTGATCCAACGAATCTGTGGACTTCTCAGCCACGAGTCCCGGAGTGCAGATGGTAGCCCTCCTTCTTGATGCACGTGAACGCTGCCGGCGCTTAGAACGCTCTGTAGTCAGCGCCGAGTTGGCAGCAGGTATACCAGCCCAGGGTCCTCCAAACCAATTGTCCCACGCATAGACTCCGCCCCGGGCATTTCCCAATGCAGCCCACTGAGAGTGCGAGAGGTCAGACTGCATGGCTTGCGGCTCCATTTGCTCGTTCTCGGTCTCCTTGGCCCCGGCGTGTGAGGGGTCTGACTGCACGTGTTCCGCCTCGGGCTTGTTCTCCGCTGCTTTTGCCTGCCATGTCACCAATGCCGTCATCAGATCTGGAAGATGGATCTTGATGTGCATGTTGAATGACGTGCTCAGTACCGGGCCCTCGGCATCCTCTTCGATAAGAAAGCCGTCTGCAGCGCAAGTCACTTGCACAGGGAGAAATCCCAGGGTCATTGCAAAACAAATCAAGGCACCACGGGCGAGTTGTGGGACTGTACGGGTGTGGTTGCTTTTAGGCTGAGCCTGAGCACAAACATCTGCAATCCATGCAATGTAGGGAGTTCCATGCAAGAACCCCACAAACCACACCTCAACATCAGAGAGAGACACGGAGCCAGGTATGGGGCTGAACTGGTGTGGGCCCTTGAATCTTGACAAAGCCGTCCATGTGCAACACCAAGATAAGCAAGGTGAGATAAGGCATGGAAGCCCCCAGAATGGAATGGAGTCTTCCAAAAGGCGTAGGCTCTGTTAATCAGGCACTTGCGGGGGGGGGAGCCTGCATTGTAGGACACCCCTAACGGCAACAAGGGGCGCAACCATTCCGTGCAAAACGGCTTCCAGATCCATTTGTGCACCTTCCAAACTGCAACATGTAAGCCCTTCAGACCGAGGGCGGAGTTGTAGAAGGCCTGGAGTGTTGACTTCAGATTAACTCGAACGGCCACACCATTTACAGGAATCCTGTGTAATTCTCAGCAAAGGAAACCACTCCTGGCTGGCCTGCAGAGCAATCCATCCGAAGTTGACGCTACCTGCTAGGCCATGGTTTTGGTTTCGACTTTGGACACGGTAAGTTGAGCCACGGTCAATATCGACTGTGTCCCAACATGGGAAGTTGGACCTGCAAGTCCAGTGTTACATTGGATGACGGCAAGCATGTCCTAAAATAGGAGAGTTCTCCAGTGGTTTCGCTTCAAATTGCATATAAAAATGAGGCCATGTTGTTTGAGAAACAGCCATCTCTGGGTTTGTCTCAAAATGGGGAACCCCAGAAAGGGTAGTTTCCTGTTGATGTCCCTTTAAAGCCTGCACCAATACTGGTACCTTCAAAAAGACACACAGTTCACCAGACGGATTCTCTCGTCTCTCGTCGCCTCCGGGAAAGATCCGCGGCGTAGGACATAAAGAGCTGGCGCCGCAAGACAAATGTCCATTGAAGTCTCAACTGCAGTGTTAAAAAAAAAAACAAAACGATCCTTGCCATGGTATCACACTTTAACCAAGGAGTTGTTGTTCTATATATCCTGTAATTACAACCACCTGTTCCACAACCAAGGATATATAGAAGGACTCAGCCAAGTACACAAAGTCTCGTAGGAACCCAACAACCCGTATACCCTCTCGTTGCATGCGGTGTTCGACTATGAAGACAAACAAAAGGCCATGCAGTTGTCAGACTACACGTTGACCAGCCAGCAAAAACACGCGCAAACTGCACAGCATACATAGTTTTAAAATTGGAAACTGATCTCAGTTCCCAAGCAAGCAAACACACACACACACACACATGTGGTGTAGCAAGCCCCCGCCCCTGCCCCCCAGTGCCCACCCATCAGGTCTTGCTTACATCAAATATTGTTAATCGAAGCGAATCGAAGTTTCCACAGCAGCCCTTTCGACTGAAGGAACGCAATCAGGTCCATTCAAATACCGTCCAGTTTGCTGAGTCGATGCGAGCCAACATGGTCATGGCTACTCCAAAGGGTTTGTCCAGAAAGATGTTTTCCAATCCAGGATTCGTGGGCTGTCCAAAGGGCTCAGACCCTTGAGGTTCCTATTTGGCTGTCGCAAGGTCTGTGGCCAACATATTCACAAAGCCGCTAACAATTAGATGACACATATCCTGGATCATATCCTGACAAAAGCATGGCTTCACCATCTCAGAAAGCTGAGACCCCATGATGTGAGGACCCCTTCGAACTTCATGGATTTGGACGCACAAATGAAACAGTTTCCAAAGCTGGATTCGTCGATTGAGGTTGTCTTGGCCACACCAATGGTCAGGTCTTAGGTCGCAAAGGGCTCTTCTTGCCTCGCCAGGCGACTGCCCTGGCTTGGACACCACAAGTCCACATAAGATTCATTGATTGGGCCGGTACGTTGAAATAACAGGTGTTAACTTCAAACTACCTGAAAAACAAGTTCGGGGTTCCCTAAGATGCTATAATTTGAGTCCCTTGGCTTTTGCGGAAGCGTTGGGCCATCCATTCATGACCTTGGGCGATTGATATCTTATCCGAACACCCAACAAATGACCCCCAAAACGAAGCCACGCCAAAACATGCAATGCCCAGAAAAAAATGGACCATAGGATGGGTTGGGCGTTTCTTCCAAAACCTACGTTGCAACCAACTAATCAAAGCGCACTTCCCCTTTTCAAAGCGTCCGTTGATCCCAACATACGGACCCCGCCTTGTGAAGCCCAGAGCTGGCAACCTCGAGCTGCCTCGACGAGGGTGTGGCCGTGAGTGCATGGGGAATACCACCATGCACCGCATGTCCTAAGACCCCGCCCCCCTTTCAAGCCAAAGCATCCCACACTGCGGAACCCCTGGCTAACTCGCATCGCCCCAAACCCTGGAGCGACCCCACAGCTGTCGCTGTGGAAAACACACACACACAAAACCAGCAGGTTCTGGACATGTCAGTGCTACCCGTCAACGGGTGCAACTTGGCCACTGAAAGCCTTGCGTAGGCCTTGAAACGTTGCATCTTCCCCAGTCGCGTCGCCGGCTGTGCAACCGTCGCCTTCGGACCTCTTGCTTCTGCCGGAGCTCCAAAGCGCGCTCCAAGTCCTCGCGACCAAAAACCAACTGACTCAACTGCTGAAACCAACTGCAAGACACACCAGCTCGGCTGTGAGCAGAACTAATTGAGGAACTTGTGCAGACAAAACTCAAATCAACACTGTTGCCAAGCTTCATCAGTTCTTGTCTTTACTTGAGGCAAAAAGCAGAGGAACACCATCAACATCATGGCCGAACCAACGCATCGAGATATTGAGACTACAAGCACCTGTGCCCTCAACAAGTGCTACTAAACCCCTTGAACACTTGCTTCAACTCCCTTCAATGCCTGGCGGCAAATTACTACCATGTGAACACACCCGAAATACGACATTGTCGAGTACGAAACCTTCACGGGTGAGACAACTTTTGACGCCCAGTTGGCCCTTCCTGGAGATTCATTCTTCGGCCTTTTCCTAGGCGGTTTTTGGTTTCCTGGTAGTTTTGGGCGTGTTGGGCGTTCTAAGTGATTTGTAGGAATTTGGGCCGACCCCCAAACCCAAAAAACGTCTTTTTCTGATTAGCGGGCGTTTGAGAGGTTTTGCGGGCTTTTTGCCGGCGTTTTGCGGGTAATTCCGGGGAAAACGTAACAGGGACCAATTCTGAAATCTCGCAAACATTTAGAGTTCTAGTAGTTTTAGGCGACTTCACGAAAAAAAAATATCGAGATTCAGGAAAAGCAAGTGAAAGACGAGAACTACCAGGAAAATCATGAAGAATGAATCTCCAGGTTGACGATTTGTCCAAGCCCTGATTTGTCCAGTGTTGTGTGCCGCAGATATGGAAAAAGGCTGGCTCGCCTGAACCTGAGCAAAAGAAGGATTCTCCTTGGATTCGTGCGTACTTCGGACATCCGAGCAAATGCAGCTAGGCCCGCTAGGCCCATCAGTGTAGCTCTGTTGGTTTTTGTTGGGTGTGTATGTCTGTGCGTGCGTTTTGTTCTTGAGGGTATCCTTCTTGGAGTTGTAAAGGGACACCTTTAAAGGAAGTCTTACTTTATTTTTTAGGGGGGGGACTCCCCCTATGTTGACACAAACCTATTTGCCTGCTGATAAGAGGGCGATCCTCCGGGGCACAATACAATGCCCTAGCTAGGCTGTTGGCGACCATGGAGGCGGGAACACGTACATTCAAAACAAGGCCCGGCAGACTTGGAACCAGTTAGAGCCATCTGCTAAAATTGCCAATACTGCTCAAATGCCAGCACCACAATCGCGCGCGTTCCCACCTGTCCTCGCTGCGAGCCTTTAGAAGGACCTCATTGAGGGGCAGAATCACCTGGGAGCGCGATAGCGAAACGCTCATGCCAAACTTATGGAGCCGGATTCAAGGCGGCACACTGCCCACAATTGTTGCAAAATCACTTTGGCCCCTGGGTTGGGCAAACTGATCACTTGGGTTTTGACTATCCTTGTCAAGAATCCTTACATTGAAGCAGCAACTAGACAGTTAATATATGGGAGGTTCGCCCGGTCCAAGCATGACTGCTTGCAAGGTGTACACGCACATGCTGGCCCCATGCTGAGCAGGCGAACCTGACTGGAGGAGGGACAGGAAGCTTACGACCCACATGCATGCAATTTGCAGCATCTGAGTACCCTGGGCAGGATTCACCTGCATCAAGTTCACCAAGCCCTAGCACTTGCTAGAACGTCAAACTGTCAAGTGTAGTTCTGATGTCCACTGAAGCGTCCAACCACTACACCGTCATATTCTTTGGGTGTCAGTTGCTGTTGTAAACTCGTTAGAACAATCATTGAAGTGGGTTCCGGGGGCTTCCCCGAAAGTAAAAGCTGTCTTCCAAAACCCTCCTGTCATCATCCATGATTGCTGGAAGGGGGGCAAGCGTTTGGCTTGTTGCTGTAAGTAGGGTCCAACCAATCCCTCAACAAACAAACCCAGTTGGCTTTCAGCTTTAGTTGCTGTCAGTGACCCCAACCTTGCGCAACAGGAAACACATCTACTCCGCTGCGCCACAAGGCTCCCCGCGCGATTGCAAAAGTCCTCAAGGCTCCCAGAGACCTGGCCACGGGTTGGCCCGAAGCTGCAATTTCGCAACGGGAAGGCTGGAATGTGTGCGCAAGGCCGCCTGATTCGGAGTTTGACCATTTCAATCAGGGCCACGCATTGTGAAACCACGCATGCGCCTCGTTCGGGGCGGGACGGGCGGATTCAGTCGATAGCCCCCAAAACTTCTGCAACTGAAGTCCCTACGATCCAATGTCTTTAACCTTTCAATCCAATCCTCACAAAACCCATCCCCTTAGTCCCGAAAGCACCAAAGGGGCAAAACTACGGGGCCCCCGGCTTGTCAGGAGACATTCTGAGAACCATAGGGGAGGGGGCGCGACTTTCTGTCCCGACAAACGGCCAAGGGATGCCTAGACAGCCTCAAGGCAGGTGACTCAAGAGGGTTGCTTACCCAAGGGCGTGCTTCTAGATTGGGACACGCGCTCCGTGAATGACCGGGCGTTCAGTAATCCCGGGTTCCCATTACCCTCGAATCTCTTGATCTCGCCTCTTCTTGACGAGCAAAGCTGTCCAAAGCAGGTCTCACTGTGTTCTCATGCGCAGTGGATTTTGCCCATGGTCTTCAAAGGAGGAGGAACATCGGCTTCTACAACAAATTAATTTGCAGTGATGCAGAAAATGACCCAGCAAATGTATATGTTTGCAGGGGCTCAACAACTAAGCGGATTCCCCAAAGGATATAGGAAACTTGGGAACTTTGTCAGCAACGCCAGTTGCTCATGTGTTGCTCGACAAGCGCCAACGAATCGACGAAGCCGCCAGCCAAAACCGCCGGCGGCGCCTTCTCAGGGGCCATGCACTGTGACGCCACCTGGGAGCGGCGCATGGCGCAAAATAAGTAATGACATCAGATACACGACCAACTCCAAGGAATCTGTGCATCAATTGTCACTCGCTCAAAGAACCGTCCTTTGGTCCAGATCAATTTTGAAAGCTGACGTGGCAGTTTGTGGTGGGTGGGCGTCGCAGTCCGAGAAACAATGCGATTTGGCCGTGTCACATCAAACAACTCCAAATGTTTGGTTTCTATGATTGTTGCTTCCATCCCACCAAGGGCTCCTAGACTTGCAAAAACTGCAGAAAGAAGCGGAAGGCCGATGAAATCATGACAATCCTCCGTCTGCTTCTACGATTGGCATCGAGCCATTGTGAATGCCCAGTGTCTTGCAGGCGAATCAAGCACAAAGAAAGTAACATTCGGCACACGCACAGTCACCTACTTGCAACACGTGAGCACATGCAGTACCCTTCTGCAAGCCACCAATATGGAGAGCCTTTTCAGGACAGATACCATGCTTGGGAGGATACTGTGCACAACAAGTTTAGGTGAATCTCCCCAAGGTCATTGAGACAAAATCATAATATACTCGCCATGATTGACATGAATCATCAGCCGGGTAGTGATCATGTTGTCTGAAATCTGGCTATGACTCTCGGCTCATCCTCGCCCGCTTAAGACCAGTTTGCCCATGCGGCATCTAGGTGAAAGAACCTCTTTCTGCCGTTCCAGCTTGAAGGGTTGGCCTTTTGAGCCCTCACGTCAACGTAGATGCACATTTCGCCCCATAAAGCATCTTGCGAAAGGAACTATTGCTGCTCAATCGGAAGAGGTCTTGTCTCGCATGCCACGTGCATCGTTGAGCTTTTGACCAGTTGGAAGGTCCAAAACCAACACTCTGAAACTATTGAATCCGTATTCAAGGTTGTTAACTTCCAAAAGATAGCTCGTTTGTCACAACCTGCATACACCAAATCAGGGTTGCCTGTTGTTGCTGTTTACATGTAAGCCAAGGTCAGCACGTTAAGGTTGTTTCCCATAGTTGCATGCATAATAGTCCTTCTGCTGAATCCTATCGCGTGGGACAAACACGGCTTTGCGACAGGAAACCTACACTGTTAAGCCCTTCGAGTTTTCAAGAATGTAGTCTCAAAAGGACAATGACGACACGGTATAGCTTGAAACTGGCTCCTATGGAACTGGCTTCCAATTGGCAATATTTGCATGAGGTCCATGGCGTGAGTCAAAAAGAAGCAACAATATGCACATGGCTTCCAGGATTGATTCAGAGCCACAACAAGGGGAGCCAAGGGAATGGTATGGCCGCGCCTCAATGGGTCCTTAATTGCCCCTAATAGTCACTGTTCGTCACGATTAGCCACTAGGTCGCTTTGTCTCCCGCTGCTATGGCTCCAAATCAGGTTCAAAATCGACGCCAACGTCCAGCTCAGGCACATCTGCCAGAGCCCGGATGAAGTTCTCCACCTTAGGGTTGAATTGGCTGCAGTTCATCTGACAAGGGGGGATCACAGATTCCATGAAACCACCTGCAGGATACGGGAAATCAGCAAGACCCCTCAGTCTTGGCAAGTGCTTGGCTGATTTCCTGTAAACTTGCTGTAGACCTTGTGTATGAGAAATATGTGGTGCAGTCAAGACTCCTTGTAATTAGGTCATAGTCGTAGTTCCGCCCGTAGAAATATGTGCGATGCTGGTGTCATTCCCCAACAGGCTCATAACCATCGCTGATTCCGGGAAACTTGTTTTGGAACATGGCCTTCAGATCAAAAGTGTCGGGCCGGGAAAGAAAGAAACTCAAGCACAGTACAGCCTTAAGTAAGAGTGAACTATGGGCACAACTCATAACCTCACTGGAGAGCGGCCAAACTCATAGGGGCTGCGTTCCGAAAACAGGAGCCGAGAAAGCATTGAAGAGGCATTGCCTAGTTTTGCTTCTAAGCAGTCTGGGGCCGCGAGACAAACAAATCAATGGCCCTTTTGATGCATACTCCGACAGAAACCTGCCTCTGGGTAAGCTGCCGCCGTGTATCTGCTAGAGCAATCTCGCCAGTCCGTAAATCGAAACCGAAACAAACGCAGCCGAGGTGACTAAGTGAATCTGCGGTGTCGTGACGTGCCCGGGACGAGTGAAGCAGCCAGAGAACCCTAGAAAAAGACTTGTGCATTCATCTGCCATGTAAATATTCATCATGTTTATCTACTCAGATGCCCAGTGGCCATGGGAAAAACAAGGGCATCCTTTTCTGTTTGGTTGAGATTAAAGGGGGGAGTCTTTCCCCCCCCCAAAAAAAGGGGGGAAAACAACGGGCGCCACTGAGCACCTGGGTCTATGGCCAGCGAGTGAGGATCTCGGTGTGCCGAGCTTTGGGGTCCCGGGGCCCTGGCCGTCATCAGGCGCTTGGAGCCGCCTCCCGCCTGCAATATCCGCGGGGGTGTGCGTTGGATGACCCCAAAACAGGGGGTCTTTCGCCACCTGTTGTGAGAAAATTGGCGGCCACCTCAAAAAGCAATCCTTCACTACAAGGGGGTCGATCAATCTTCCACAAAACGTGACTAAAAGACTCCCCGGCCCCAAATGGAGATCTCACAGATTTGATGCCAGCAATCATGAGGTCACGCAAAGGACGGCAGAGGCAACTTGAGTTGAGGCCCCGAAAAATGAACACAATGGACAGAAACAACTAGGAAGCCCGGCAAATCATGCAATTTTGGGAGGCCGCTCTGCTTTGCGTCATTTGGGAGGGTCGACTTTGGGACTGCCATGTCATTGGACTTGGCTGTGGCAGCCCCTGCGCCACTGGCACAACTCGTTAAGGTTTCTCAAACTAAGCAGAATCATAATCATGGTGCTAAACTCTGAAGGAGTCTCAACAGCAAGCTATACAGTGTGCATCCTGATGGCTACAGTATTTCACGGGATCGGAGACGTTTGGGATCCGAGGGGCGCACTTGCTCGAAACAGAATCCATAAGCATCTCAGGCAACCTCATTGAACAGTGGAACGCACTCTGTCATTTGAAGTGATGCCAGGCTGCTCTAGTTCAGTGTTCTTTCAACCTTGAATGTGATATTTTGTTGCTTGACGTGCACACTCCAGAAGCTTGGCTGCAGCCTAAATCGCTTTTCCCCAGGTCGTGTTGTATCAAAGAGGTCTCGGCAGACCATCCAGGTGACTTCCCCAGTCAATCTGTCCTTCTCAGTCTCAGCGTATCTCTTTCAGACAAGCGGTCCCGCACGCAATGATTTGCTTTTCATGGAACGCCACCCCCGGGCCCACCAAAGGACACGTTGTGCCATCTCTTTCTTGCCAGGCTCACCAGGCCTTTTGGCCTCCGAAACTAGCAACACCGTGCGGAAAACGGGCTGCCCCAGATCAGGCCCCAAAAAATCAGCACACGCTCATGTCCACGGATTGCTGCTAGCTACAAAGGTCATTGTTTGAGGGAGCGCCCCCAAAATGTTCATCCTCAATTCACGCTTTACACGGCCCCTCAACAAGACCCATTTCTACAAAGTGGCATCCCCACACACTTCGTGCTCACCTACCCTTGAGACCCCAAGCTGCATGTTCAACAGCTGTGTGCAAAAACTCCAAGGTTGCCAGTTGTGTAGGGGAATGTTGCAGGGGATCTTTACTTCTTGAAGAAAACCGGGTGCTTTTAAACGAAAAACCTGTGATGATAATAGTCAAGATCGGCAAGCTGGCAGGCCGAACATGCTCTCC